GGGCTCAAGTGGTAGAGCGCTAGCCTTGAGCTGAAGAGCTGAGGGACAGCGCCCAGGCCCAAAGTTCAGGCCCACGACCGGACCCAAAAAAAAAAAAAAAAAATCAAGAGAGTATGTGTGTGTATACATTCATATATTATAAACAGTAAACATTTAAATACTAAAAATTTTAATAATGGAAGTTTTTAAAAGTTTATAATAAAATATGAAATACTTAGGAATAAAGCTGATAAAAATATCTAATATGCTAGGTGCTGGTGGATCATGCCAGTACTCCTAGCTACTCAGGAAGCTGAGCTCTAAAGATGATGGTTCAAAGCCAGCCCAGGCAAGAAAGTCTGTGAGACTCTTACCTCCAATTAACCAACAGAGGACCAGAAGTGGTGCTGTGCCTCAAAGTGGTAGAGTACTAGCTTTGAGCAAAAAGAGGCCAGGGACAGTACCCAGGCCCTGAGTTCAAGTCCTGTGGCCAACAAAAAGAAATAATAAATTTTTAAAAATCTAATATGTGTACTGTGAAAACTAAAAAGTACTACTGAGAAAAATTGAACTAAGCCAGGCGCTAGTGGCTCACGCCTACAATCCTAGCTACTCAGAAGGCTGAGATCTAAGGATTGTGGTTTAAAACTAGCCCAGGCAGGAAAGTCCATGAGACTTTTTTTTTTTTTGGGGGTCCGGTCATGGGGCCTGAACTCTGGGCCTGGGCGCTGTCCCTCAACTCTTCAGCTCAAGGCTAGCATTCTACCACTTGAACCCCAGCGCCACTTCCAGCTTTTTTCTTTTTGCTTATGTGGTGCTGAGGAATCGAACCCAGGGCCTCATGCATGCAAGGCAAGCGCTCTACCACTGAGCCACCTTCCCAGCCCCTCCATGAGACTTTTATCTCTAATTAATCACGGAAAAAGCTAGAAATGGCATCGTAGCTCAAGTGGTAAAGTGCTAGCCTTCAGCAAAAAATCGCTTAGGGACAGCACCTAACCCTGAGTTCAAGCCCATGACCAACCAAAAAATGAAAAACTGAACTAAATAGATTTATTTAGAACTAATAAATCCATATTCATGGATTAGGAGACTCAGTTAAGACATCAATTATCTCCAGATTCTTCTAAAGATTCAATATGATCTCAATCAAAATTCCAGGACACTTTCTTTTTGTAAAAATTGAAAACAGATTCTAAAATTCATATGGAAGTGTAAAAAGACCTAGAAATACCCCCCAAAAAATTGTGAAAAAGAACAAAGTTGGGTGATTTATATTATGTGACTTAAAGATCTGTCAGAAAGACTCAATAATCAAGACAGTGTGTGTAACATGGAAGTAAAGATAAACAAATAGACTAAGAGAAAAGAATAAAGAGTACAGAAATAGGACCATACAAATATGGCTGACTTTTTTTCCTAACAAAGGCAGAGACATTCAATAGTAACAGTACAAGTTACTTTTTTAATGGTGCTAAAAAAAAAACTGATTAACTCGACTTCCAAGTTAGGAACTTCTCTGTGAGTGACATTGTTAAGAGATGAAAAAGAGAAAGGAGATTGAGAGAAAATGTTTATAAAATATATGCCTGACATAGAAAAGATTACATAAAAAATTCTTCTAAGTTAAATAAAAAAACTCAATTTAACAAAAAAGTAAATGGTTTGAAGAAAAGACATTTCACCAAAGACAACACACAGATGTAAAAATGCAAGTGCATGCAAATATTCACTATCCAGGAGAAAAATACATGGCAGAACCACAGAGAAATGTATTGTAACTCTTAGTAAGATGGGTAAAAATGAAAAAACCTGTTAGAACCCTAAGATGCTCTGGGAGGGGTATAAATGGAAGTCACTTTTTCAAACTACTTGGCAGATTCTTTAAAAGTTAGACACTTCAAACTATGCAACAGCAAAATGCCAAATAACAGTAATTATAAATGGTCAGATATCTAAATTGATACTTCTTCAAAGAAGACAAGTGGCCAAGTATATGAAAAGTATTCAAAATCACTAATTTTCCAAGAAGAACAAATTAAAACAACCACAAAATATCCTATCACCTCATTCCAATGAAAATGATTTAACAAAAGTAAACAATAACAACAACAAAAAACAACAGAAGGTTACAAATATTGGCCAAAAGACAGGAAACTCTTACACACTGATGATGGCAATGTAAATTAACACAGTTATAATGGAGATGAGTATGAAAGTTCTTCAAAAATAAAAAAAAAAATATGTGAGATAATGAGAAAAGGATAACACTGTTCAAAAAGAAATGCACTTATTACCTTACTTATGTAACTGTAACCCCTCTATACATTACCTTTAAAATAAAATTCAAATCTAAAAAAAATAAAGAGCCAGGCACTGATTGTGATTCAAAGCCAGTAGACATATCTATGAGATTCTTATCTCCACTTATCCAGATAAAAGCCAGAAGTGCAAGTGTGGCTCAAGCAGTAGAGTACAGGCCTTGAGTGAAAAAGCTGAGTGAAATCAAGAGGCCAAGACTTCAAGGTCCCAATATTAGCATCACTTGCACATGCACACATTCATGGACAAACAAACACACACACACACACACACACACACACCCCTAATATATGACCTAGCAGACCCACTACTAAGTGTTTCTCCAAAGAGACTGAGATAATATGATAAAGAGACATCTGTACTCCCATGTTCATTAAAACATTACTTCTAACAGCCAAGAGAAAATACTTATAAACGTCCACTAATGGATGAATGTATATGCTATGTATACACAATGGAATACTATTCAATCATAAAAGAGAGCAATTCTGTCATTTGCAACAACATGGAGGACTTGGCGGACATTACATGATGTGAAATAAGCCAGACACAGGAAGACAAAGACTGCATGATCTCACTAATATGTGGAATCTAAAATCCTCAAACTCACAGAAGCTGAGCATAGGATATGGTTACCAGATGTTAGTCAAAGATTCAAAATTTCAGTTAGGTAGAAAGATGTTTAGGAGCTCTATTATACACTGCAGTGTCTAATACAACTGAAAATTGAGAATAGATTTTAAACTTTCTCACCACAATATATGAGCTAATGTATATACTACTTTGACTTAACCATCTCGCATGGTATACAAATACCATGTTATATACCAGAAATACATACATTTTAATTTACTAATTATAATTTGAAAACATTTTAATAAAAACACTTCAGGAGAGTCAGGCCCTGGAAATTTAACCACTCGGGAGACTAAGATCTAGAGAATCAGAAAAGAAAAGTGTGAGAGAGCCCTCTTCCCCTCTAACCAGTAAAAAGCTGGGTTGGAGGTATGGCTTAAGTAGTAGAGGCAGCTGAGCAAGCAAGACAACCAAGTCAGAAGCTGAGTTCAAGCCCCAGTACCAGAAGGAAAACAAAAAAACAACTTAAGGTCTCAGGAAAATAGCTCAGCAGAAAATACTCATCTAGTATTCACCAGGTCCTAGGTTCAATTCCCAGTACAAAAAAAGAATCTGCTACATGAATTAGCCACTCTACTTTGTAGGTATAAATCAAAGGAAAAGTTTATGCCCATACATATATTTAACAAATGGATATAGCAACTTCTTCTATAATAACTCAAACTGAAAACCCAAATATCTATAAAGTGAATGGATACAAAGACTGTAGTAAATTCAAGAAATGGAAGACTATTCCACAAGATGAGAGAAGGAAATCCTGATACCTACAATAACACAGATATGTTTAAAAATTATATTGGAGAGAGAAGCCAGATCTCCTTCCTCCCCCACTCCTGCCAATAGTAAATACTGTATAATTCTACTTATGTAAAATTACAGAAAATAAGAATCTAACTTATAGTGATGGAAAGCAGATCAACAGTTGTCTAGAGATAGGACAAAGACAATAGGAAGAATTACAAAGAGACATGAAGACTTCTGGGAGTAATGATTATGTTCCTTACTTTGATTTTTTGATGCTTTCACCAGTGCATAGATATGTCAAAGCTAATCAGATCATACATTTGAAACATGTGCTAGTTATGGTACTGACTATGCCCCAATGACGCTGCTTTGAGAAAGAATCAAAGAATAACATAAACATTGACATGAAAAAATGCTATTAATATTAAAATGCACATATTAAATGAAAAGCCCATGGAATGATACATATGTAGACTGATAGTGAGATACCTCATAGTCCCACTTACATAAATGCATTTGTGTTCATACTGAATATATGTTTATACATCTATACAAGAAGTCTAAGGAAACACATAATGATCATTTATAGTTTTGATATTGGAGAAGCAATAAAGGAAGCTTTTTCATCTTATCTGTCTCTATATTGCCTAACCTTTGTACAGTAAGCATGTATTACCTCTGAAATTAAAAAACAACAACAACAAAACAGTAAGTTCAGCCAGGTGCCAGTGGCTCAGCCTATAATCCTAGCTACTAAGGAGGCTGAAATCTGAGGATCGCAGTTCAAAGCCAGCCTAGGCAGTAAGACTCCTAACTCCATTTAGCCATTCAAAAACCAGAAGTGGAGCTGTGGCTTAAAGTGGTAGAGCACTAACCTTGAGCAAAAAGCTCTAAGCGACAGCACCCAGGACCTGAGGTCAAGCCCCACAACAAACAACAACAACAAAAAGAAAGTTCAAAAGTAATTAGGTTTAAAGTTAAGGGACAAAATGAACTCGAAAGTAAAAGTCACACTAACTTACTATTTCATAGAAGATGGAATCTTGTTTGTTGGAAAAAACAAAGGACAAATGTATCATCCTTACCTAGACTTAAAGTCAGATCTGTTCTCTGCAATCACCCAGGAGAAAATCTCTACTAAGCAATACTAAAGGAGGGGGCAACACTGTCTATTCTCCAGGTATTCTGAGGCACAAATATGTCAAGAGTTTTAAAAGACCAATAACTTTCACCCTAGTTTTCCATGAGAGAAGGAATAGTCAAGACTACAATCAAAATCTAGCAGTTTCTAGGCCCATGCTCCTTCAGATTTCAAATACCTTGGATAATTTTCTGCTGCTGTTGTCGAATTTCATCAAAGCCCAAGCCTCTGGTTTCCTCTGGCTCCTCAAAGAGCCAAGGATTGGGTGTTCCTCGCTTAGCCTCTTCACTCATCAGGCTGGACCTACAAGAAATATTAAGTGCATTCATTACTTATCTCAAAAGAATACAGCCCAATAACAAATTATGTATATAAATGCAGAAGTGGCCAATATTACATGCTTTGAAAATTGCACAATTCATTGCATCATTCGTTTATGCCAGGAACTTGTTCAGTGCTTGTCAAGAGACAGGAGGATGAATAAGGCACAGACTTGGCCCCCAGAGAACAACTGTTTAAAAGATATGGGAGACAATTTGACCCAATATTTGCAGAAGAGGTTGGTAATTGTTTTATATTTTGAAAACACAAGGTCAATTGGAAGTGGCCTTTGCATTGCAACAGTGTGTCTTATCAGCTATGTGACATCAAAGGTACAATTTTTTTTTTTGCCTTTTCTTTTTTGGTACTGGGGATCAAACCCAGGCCATTTCTTTGCCACTGAGATACATCCCAACCCCAAATGTTATTTCTCCATCAGTTACCAATGTTGTAATTACAGATTAGAGCACAAAAACAACTGTATAACTCAGTATTAAAGAATACTTGCTTGCTCTGCACACAGATAGAAATACAATCAGAGTTTCAAATTCAATTCTCTGAATATTGTGCAGCAATCATAACATGACCAAACTCCATATGCATTATTGATCCTATGGTTTATTACCTGCAGTTACCCACAGGCCTTTTTGCACCAGACAGGCCATTTCACTGTCCAAAGAACAGTGCACACAGTTTCCGACTCTGCCCCGCCTTACATAGGCTTCTTTTTATCCTGAGTCCCACCAGTACACAATCTTTGCAAGCTGTTGGGATCATCATGCTCAGGAAACTGTCTCTGACCACTTCAGCACGGAAATGAATATTCTCATTACAGCTCTCATCAGATTCAGAAGAATGATAATGATGATGTCATAGGAGTATCAGTGACAGCAAACTAGTAAAAGCATATAAAGCAGTTGCTATGTGCAAGCCTAGCCCAAGGGATTTACATGTATACACTCATTTTTCCATTATTTATCAGTCTTCTAGCCCTGATAGCATCTTGTGGATTGTCTAGAAATAACTGCTCCCCTGTCGTTTAGGCTTATACATAGGTCTTGTGTGCACTTAGAAGGCAGGAACTAAAAATCATCTTTATTGGCCTGCACCTTGTTCCCCATAGGAAGTGAGAAGCTTCTAGCACAGTGCATAGTGGCACAGACAGGGCACAGGGGATTCCTGGGTGGGTTGAGTAATAGAATTCACTTATCCAAAACTTACACAGAATTTATTATGGTAGGAGTAAAGAAAAATAAATTGTCAACAAAATAAAGCAAATTCTCACTGTAGGCACTATCCTCATTCTGGGATGAGGGGGCAGAGAAGGGGGCAAGGGGATAATGTGCACACACATGTAAAGTCCTTGATATGATGTTGACAAATAATATTCAATAAATTATCACCCACTATCGTACTATATACATTAAGAGGCTCTGAAAATTATTTTTTGTTTTATATTTTTGTTGGTCGTGGGGCTTGAACTCAGAGCCTGGGCACTGTCCCTGAGCTCTTTCATTCAAGGCTAATGCTCTACCACTTTGAGCCACATAACCATTTCCTGAAATTAATAAATAAGCACACCCTAAAAGTGGCATTGATTTCATCTTTTTAGCGCTTTAAAACTGATAGCATATATGTATCAACTGATAGAAGGATATAATATGTATCAAAGAACAAACCCAGACCAAATTAAAAGAAATTCTTTTATTTTTTGTACTAAGATATTTAGCACAGATCTTGTCTCTTATTCAAATATGCTGATTAACATGCCAAATAGAAGTATGCTTTTCTTATACTCGCTCAAAGACAGGTGTCTTTTACATGACTCATCCTAACAATTCAAGATGTCAAGGTCTCAAACTTACTGCATATAATAACCACTCAACATCATCTAGCTTTGAAGTTAGGAAGAAAGCAACAACAACAACAAAAGACGCAAAGGAAGAAATCTGCAATCAAAATATACTCTTTACAACAATTTTTCCAGTGCCAGCTTTTGTTGTAACAGGATCTACATGGCACTCTGAATAAGGTTCACTGCCAAAGTACAGGTTCAAGATACCAAAAGTCACCTCTAAAGTGCACTGGTAACCAGCTTTGATTATCCATTCAAATAAACATACTGCAAGTGGTTGACATTGATTCTCTGAAGTTAGTGTTGGAATAGTTCACTGTCAGCTCTTATGAGACCTACAGCATACTTTGAAATTTTAGTATTAAAGGCTAGAGGTATAGCTCAGTGGTAGAGTCCATGCTTTGCATGATTAAGGCTGTGTGCAGAATCCTAGACACACACACACACACACACACACACACACACACACACACACACACACACACACACACACACACTCTCTCTCTCTCTCTCTCTCTCTCTCTCTCAAATAGTGAAAGGGGGAAACAACAAATGTGAATTTTCAGAAATCTCAAAAACGACCAATCAGGATTATAACTGTATATTTTAAATGCCTGTGCATAATTCAATATAAAACATTCATCTTCAAGCCAAGTGCCGGTGGCTCACACCTATAATCCTAGCCTCTCAGGAGGCTGAGATTGGAGGATCACGGTTCAAAGCCAGCCCAAGCAGGAAAGTCTGTGAGACTCTCATCTACAATAAACCACCAGAAAACCAGAAGTGGTACTGAATCTCAAGTGGTAGAGTGCTCACCTTGAGCTCAAGAGCTGAGGGACAGTGCCCAGGCCCAGAGTTCAAGCCCCAGGACCCAAAACAAAACGAAACACTCATGCAGATATACAGGGATGACTTTCCAGGTTATTTAATTCCAAAAACTGAATTGTCTTCCTTGTCTTCCACATGTCTGCTTTGGTGTTTCTATTTTGCTATCCAAAATCCAGCAATGGATTTTACTAGGAAGGGCATCTTAAGATGTAAGATCACAGGCATTCCTATATACAGAGCACTTGATTTTCTTTTCATTAGATTTATGTTAAACATTTGGGGTAATGCCTATTGCTACTTTCTGTTCAAATCATATGGACCTACCCTAGAAGAACTATATCAGCCATTGGGTTAGGGAGACGATATACAAATACTTCGAAAGAAGTCCCACATAGAAAACCTATGTCTTATCCTGGTTGAAAATTACTGTGTTAAAGACTATGCAGCTTAAGTCCACTCATGATACTCCCTTTGCATTCTATCTCCAACTAGAATTCAACCCAAACTCAACAATCCAAAATCAAATATGTTACTTCCATACCCCACAATCTTTTCTTCTCCTATACACTCTATTTTGGCTCTTAGCAAGTCATCCAAATCTATTTTCCCCCCTCTGCCCCTCTCTCCCATACCCCATGAATGACTAAGGCCCTCCTCAGAGATGTTTCCCCAGTCTCTATCCTCATTATTATTCCCTTGGTACAGCACTGGTTCAGACCTTTATCATTTTGTGTGCATGGAGACCATGCCTATGGCCTTCTAGATTGGTTTCCTTTCTTTCAGTCACCCTCATCCCAATCATCTTACACACTGCTGCTAGAGTTATCTAAAACAAAGATCTTGTCATGATCATTTCCTTAGTTTAAAACCTCTGTGGACCGTCCCTCCCTCCCCCCGCCCCCCAGAATCCACAACTCAAGTGTAAGCCTTATAAGATGGTCCCAGTGACCTTTCTGATGTCACCTCCCCACATCCTGCTTCTCCTTTAGCCACACACACCGTTCACCACAACTCAGACAAAGGCACAAAATTTCACACTCTCATGTTTTTGTATGAGTCTGGAGTGTCTCCACCCCCACCCCTTTGTCCATCTGGCAAAATTCTATTCATCCCCTAAGGCTCAACTTAAATGTCACTTGTGCTTCTTAGTCCTTCCTGATCCCCACCCCATCCCCCTTCCCAAGAATCAATCACTCACTGCTGCTCCCAGGGCACCTTGTTCACAGCCTCCAACGTGGCATTTATCAAGCAGGATTGTAGTTAGTTATTTACGCATCTGTCTCCCTTCCTAAATGATGAGCTCTGTGAGGAAGGAGGCCATATGACAGCCAGGTTTATATCTCCAGCACCAGAAAAAAGAAGACAAAAAAACAAAACAAAAAACAGACTGGAAATATGCTGGAAAAGCACTGTCTATAAATGTTTATGAAACAAAACTGGGAAAACCCACTAAGGGTTTCAAGCTAGAGAAAGCCAAAATAAGTGAAGCATTTAACATTTTTATCTTGTGAGCTTAGAAAAAAAAACAAAAACCTTAACTGCTACCTGCCTTCAACACTTCAGCAGCAAAGGCTGATATTGCTCATGTAGATGGAGAGAATTATTGAAAGGGAATTGTGTTAGTATGTGAACTTCTAGTTCATCCTCACTTCTGGAACGACAATGTTAAATACAAGAAATGCTCATTATTATGCCTCTGAGTTTAGAATACTTACATTATTTCTTTGCTGGGTATGAAACACAGGTCCTTGAACAGCCTAGACTAGCGATGTATTACTGGACTATGACCCCACTTCTTTTTATTCATTTTTATGATGGTACTGGGGCTTGAACTCAATCTCTGCACTCTACCACTTGAGCCACAGCTCCACTTCCAGCTTTTTGGTGGGTTATTGGTGATAAGAGTCTCAGAGACATTCCTGCCCAGGCTGGCTTTGAACCTCAAGCCTCAGATTTCAGCCTCCTAAGTAGACAGGATTATAGTACCAGCCTACCTCTCTCCTTTGAGAAAAAAATTGCTGACATTACCAAGCTAGCTTCAAACTCCTTGGCTTAAACAATCATATTGCCTCAGATTCCTTTGGCTGGGACTACAGGTCTGCCCCACCATACCCAGCTCATACTTTTATTTAAAATAACTGGTCCTTTTTTTGGGGGGGGTCCGGTCGTGGGGCCTGAACTCTGGGCCTGGGCACTGTCCCTCAGCTCTTCAGCTCAAGACTAGTGCTCTACCACTTGAGCCACAGCGCCACTTCCGGCTTTTTTCTTTTTGCTTATGTGGTGCTGGGAATCGAACCAA